CTTTACACCTGTCTCTGTTAGTTACGCATACATATCACAGAATATGATAAACATGGTGGGTGTTTGTGATTGTTTATGCATGTGTACATCTGGTCTACGCGTGCAAAAGTAGTTTTACATATACAAATGCTGTTTGAATTTTATATGTTAATTTTGTAATTCCTCTTATTTTTCAATTCATAGAAGCATTTTTCTGGCAGACATATTTAATTTTTATCATCATCATTTTTTGATATTATAATTTTTTTCTTAGTTATCAAATCATTTGCAATTGTAGTTTCTTTTTTGTTTTGTTTTGTTCCTTTTTAAGCAATAAAGTATATGTAGAACTAAGGTGTAATAATCAATTCAAGCATATGCAACCAACATCGATTCATTTTAAAAAAGCAAAATCATAAGCTTAAACAAGTTTCACTTTTAACATATAAATACCAAAGACCTTTTTAAATATTTGCGCCCACCGATGGGAAAGGACTTTTACCAGAATCGTCGAGTCAATGTCTGGAACTGGCTTTACATTATAAATGGTTAAAATTTATTTATTTCAATTTAAAGCACTATGTCCCCCTATGGACACTTGCGCTGTCATACATGTATGCCTTTACATTTGTCTATACATATATACAATAATTTTAGGCCGTAAAGAATAGTCATATGATATTAACAAGGAGAAAGAGAGAAAAAAACGAGAACAGAGAACTGTGTACAAACGAAAGAAATGTCTGGCAATATGTATACAATCAAAATAATATAAATTATCAGTTTCTTAAAAGATATTTGTTGCTATATAATTCAAAATATATCTACAAAAGTTATTAAATTTAATATACTTATGTGTACATTTCTTTACTGGAAATAAAATTGTAAATAGTTAAACGATGTCTAAATAGAGATTTTTTAATGAAAAATATGTGTGCATATCCTAACAGTTTAAATGGGAATTTTATATAGTAGAACGCTATCTAACTGAATCAATTTGAACTAAACGTTGATATATGATCAATAAAAGCCAACAACATACGCATTTCGGGCTGTTGGCACTTGTCAGCATAGTGCAGGCTGTATCTCAACGACCTTCCTTGAGACTTCCGGAGACACACAAAAAAACGGGTAGTTAAGGTCAAATTTGCGTAAATACGTTAAAACAAGCCACTTTTTGTCAGTTTTTCCTTTCCTTTTTTACAGATTTAATTAACTTGAAGATAGACTTTGCTTGGCTGGCATTCATCTCTCGAGTATATCTAAAATATAGCTTTTTTTTTCAAAATATTTATGTATATAAACATACATCATGGTATATAGATTGGCATTTTGTCTATATTTGCCAAAACTCGCATTGTGGCTCATTATTTTATCACTACTAGAAAAAGGTTTTTACTAGGGTTTTTTATCCCAAGTACACGTGGTACAGGTCATGATAATCATGGTGGGTAGTTAGCGACTGCTTTTACTGTAAGTACGCCACATGTCTACACATGTAAAAAGAAGTTCGACTTTTGCAATTACAAATGTGCTAGAGCCCCGTTTGATTACTTGCACTCGCTGGTGGGGTTGGAATTTTGCGAGAATCGGGTGCCATTGGAACATTTTAAATTATTATTACTATAAAAAAGAGTTCCCAATGCGGGATTCGATCCCGGGTCGTAGCGGTCAGAAACCAACGGTTTAGACCATCCTTCCACCTTGTAGAACCATGAAACCTATTATATAACTGTTATTTGCTGTCTTGGCACCAACTATGTAGTAGCAGGAAATACTGAAGGAGGATTACTAATGGAATTAGAAGGATGTTTCAAGCAACTATATTCTGTTGAAAACTTAGCATTGTGATATGAAAATTTTATGACACAGAACAGGTCCTTGAATGCAGATCATTTTCTGATTATCTCTAACTAACGGTTTAGACCACCCTTCCACTGACCCCCCTTTACTATGGTGATGTACAGTTGCTTACAGATGCATAGTTCTGATGCCTAATTAAAGAAAGAAGCGCCACTTTAGGTGCACTTATGTATATAACATAAAGTTGCTGGAGGATGATAAAGGATAGGGTGCTGCTTTGGTACTTATGTATTCATTAATCATATTTTTTAATAAATACAATGCAAAGTTGATGGAGGACGATATTGAAAAGAACATTACTGTTGAGTGCTGCGCTGCCTGGAGTATAGAAACTCCATCTATTATTTCTTTCTGTAGTGAATCGGTAAAAAACCGCTGGTCTTAATAAAGCTGCGTGTGTGAAAAGAACACTACTGCCTTTTATAAATGTATCAAAATGATGAATTTAGCTATATTAACCCGGTACAGAAATTAGAGTGACTGTGCCACTACACTTGTTTTGGTAAATCAGACAAGAGCTGATACCGTAGCACATTCTTTTATCACAGCCTCGGTATACGAGTACAGGGGTGATTAATAGAATGTTTTATGGCATTTTTTTAAGGTGAGGATGTCCTTTTGAGATGGTGCATAGTCCGCGAGTGTATTTATATACTTATAGGAGGACAATTCTCAACAAACTATATTTGGGACTACTTTAATAGATTTCGAATAATGTGCAGATTCAAGGTTCCAAAATCACTTTATTAGATACCGCTCAAAAAGAGCAACCTAGTTTATGATATTTGCAACAATGAATAATATCAAAATTAGAAACTATTTTAGACGCGTAATATTCTTTTTGAAATTAAACAAATACGCGTCTAAAATAGTTTCTAATTTTGATAACAGATGGCGCGCTAGTGCATCATAATGAATAATATATGATGGTAATTCATATATTGAACAAAATGTTAACACGGAATTCAATCCCGGTTCATGACTGTCGGAAATCGAGGGTGTTACCCACTCGTCCACCGACGTTTTATGTATAGGTATATATTTGGTTTATCTATATAGAATTTATATATATTGTAGCGTGGTAATGAATGACACTAGACAGATCACAATGATAAAATAAAAGATTATTTAATAGAACATTCAAGTACGCAAGTTTCTTTTAAATATAAAAACACACCTCTAATGTTCTTACTGAGATTAAAAATATTGGGAGGGCTTGGCTCATCAGTGATGAACCCTCCCAGCGGTTTCGCCAATTTAATCTACCAGACCGCTTCTTAGAGATATAATACTGTATTGGATGATTCTGCTTATATATGCTACACTGAAGGGTGGAATCTTAGAAATGGAATTCAGCTAAACTATGGTAGAGGTATGTTTTATGTTTAAAAGAAACTTGCTTAAATGTTTTCCCATATTATATATAGATGGCGCGTTATTGCCCTGTGGTCAAAAGTTTATATATTCATCACGTCGGCTAACGATTTTACGTTCAACTAACAAATTACATATAGGTAGAGAGATATGTTTATAACCCAGGTTCCTGGAGCACAGAACGCCAACTACTCGGGGAGTCCAGGTAGAAAATATCGAACAACAAAGCTATGAAACATACTAGTATATTACAAATAAAGAAGGCATATCCTGACCAGAAGCACATGTGCTTTTAGATGGCAGAGCGCCATCTAGTGGATTTGGGTTGGCCAAATATCAGGGAACAGGTTAAATCAACGTTTAGTTGATTTCTGTTCCACTAGATGGCGCTTTGCCATCTAAAAAGCACATCTGCTCCTGGTCAGGATATGCCTTCTTTATTTTTAATATCAACACCTGACCCACTTTTTTTTTTCTATTGTTTTTCATACTTGTATATGATTATTTAAGAAAATACAGAGTTATATTCTGCTGTGTATTTTCATTGATTAATTAAATAATAAAATAAGGTATAAAATTATTTCTTCGCCATAAAATGTATATGTCCCAATATGTATATGTCCCAGGATTGGAGCAAGTGAAAAAAACAAACTTTCAAGTTTACTGTCCGGCATTGTTTAAATCTTGGGATGGTGTTGGGCCCCTATTTGTCACTATATAAAATATGTTTCGTTTGATTTATTTCCGAAAATTGAAGTAAAGGACATTTTATTAATAGTTGAACTTTAATGGGGAATAAGAATCCCTGGAATATTTGTCAGACGAAGTAAAGAGAGACAAAAATGTCAACATATTTATATATTTTGATTATTATATAGTATTTTAATTATATATTATTATATTATAGTATTTTAATTATATATTATTATATTATAGTATTTTAATTATATATTATTATTATAGTATTTTAATTATATATTATTATTATATTATATTATTAAAATAATAGTATTATAATAATAATTAACTATTATAATATTGCTTATAAATGTTTTATTTTAATATAATATTGTATATAGGGATCTACACACAGAGGAGAATATTTTTGAAAATAGAGCAATCCATACTTAATTCATTAGATAATAAAATGCATATATTGGATTTAATATTAAATCCAATATATGCATTTTATTATCTAGGAGAATCTTTGGTTGTACACATATTATTTAAAATAGTTAAAATCCTGGTCAATAGATGGCGGTAGGTGTCAGTGGGCGTCATGAGCCCCGCGTCACATAAGTTATTGATTATAAATTATTTAGTAAAATGATATTACAAATGTTAAAAGCTTTTAAAATTTCGATCATTTTAAATTTATTTTAATCAGAAAATGCCTAAGATTATTCATGAACTAATCCAAATATATTTTTACTTTATATTCGAAGTCTATACTTATTGTGAATGTTGCAAAAATGTGCGAACAGTGAATTATTTATGATCCACAGGATACAAGACTGTTTTAAAACTGATATCTCCCGATAACCCTTATACAATTCTGGTAGGAAAACTGATTGGAAATAAGATAGATCGTACTTAAGACAAATATTTAGAAATATCAAATTTATTTTTTAAATAATAATATATTAAAAACCAGAAAATGTTTTTATAAATTGAATATCTCTTTTTGTATATAGAGAACATAAATTTAAAACAGTATTACTTTTCATTAATTCAACAACACAAAAGCCTTTTTTTTTTTTTTTTTTTGAAAAAGTAAAAATAATTTCAATTATTCTGTATATATATATTATTTAGAGATTGTACATAGAATATCAGCCCGTTGAAGAACAGTATATTTGCTCGAAAGCTTGCAAATTTAAATCAAAAGAAAATTTTTACCTGATATTGATTTTTACTTTTTCAAATAATTTCTGGGTAACTATTGGTCACACAACAAAAGCCTTTATTATGGACACTTGTTCCATACAGGAGGATTCTTCTAGATCAGGGCTCGGCAACCTGCGAGCCACATGTGGCTCTTTGGATGTGAAGTTATGTGTAGTACTTGTGTAAATAGAGTTTTTATTTATGCGAGTACTACAAGGTAGTCCCAATATTATTCGCCTTTATGTATAATGTCTTTGTTGTGTCTGGATGCTATATTTATGGCGAACTAAATAACTTAGTCCCTATTTCTGCTCCGCGCTTATGGAATTGAAGACTTGGGGCGATGACGTCGGCCTTTCATATTAAATCTTACTTTTCCTTATTACTAATAATTGTATATAGTTGCGGAACTACTGGTTTCCTGTGCTGCTCTTTTCCTGTTATTGCACCTTGTACGGAGAATCTGTATAAGACTAATGTCTTAATAAAGGCTTTGTGTGTGTGTGTATAATGTCTTTGTATTATGTATAAAGTAATTGTATTATGTATTATTATGTATTTGCCATAATAATATTATTCACCAAGTAATAAGAAAAACAACGTTTTAAAAAAAAAACTTTTGGGACAACCTTATATTTATTGTTGGCAAGACAAAAGTGTGTGTGTGTTGTGGCTCTAAAAAAAACTTAGAAATTTTATAAATGGTAATTTTTTACTCTTCTAACTCAAAGGTTTGCCGACCTGTACTAGATGGTTAAACAGAAGAAACAGTTATATACAGAAAGTGGTGAATAACATCAATATTTCCTCAAGTTGGGTCCCTCTTCTATGTTATGCCTATTGACTATGCTGCTGTTCCCCAGAATTTGTGAAAATCCAATGCATTGGTCCTGCTTTTCACTACTTTTTCCAATAAAACATAAGGCGAATTGTTTTCATACGCAATCTTTTGGCGGAGAATTACTCTCTCATCCTCCAAAGCCGGACAGTAAAACGTGTAGTACTTTCCATTAATTGAATAAATTGACAATATGACATCATTTCCTTATTTCGTAAGCTAACAGGTGATAGTGTCATGTCCAACCAATGATCATGATAAATCATGTCGGATTTAAGAAATAGCCGGTCCCGTGGTTAGGCTTCCAATCGAGAAGTGATTGTATATACAAGTTATCTACAAATCGCTTGAAATCAACACGTAACAATAAATATGAATATAATTTTTTTTTTATATAAATATACAAAATGTGTGTGCGACCTTTTTGGGTAAAATGGCACTATTCGTATCTAAACATACTCTTTTTTCATTCTTTTTTGGAATAAGGGAAAACTGGGGCTGTTATGGGGAATGTGAATTTACCGATTTTATCCTTTATTACATAGGTAGAGAAATATTCAGAACTCTTGTCTTATATTAGATTCTTTCAAACAACCTCACGCTCGAAAACAATTGAGTTTTCATTATTGGAGAATCTATATTATAAAAAAGATGAAAAGGTTGTTCGTTTGTGTGCTTGCTTGGTATGCATACGTTTCCACATTACTTGACTTACCCAGATGAAATTTTGACCCCATATAAAGTCTGCAAGAAGTAACTGTCATAGTTTTCACCCTGAAATATACTATTTAGTCTGATAATAGACGAGTATGTATATTTCCTTTGAAACTCAATTAAAAGTATCAGCCGTTTTTGTGGCGTAATTGGCGGCAGGCATTCCCGGATGCATGCCACATTATGTCGACGTTATGTGTTAAAACCCTTACAATCGTTTATTATTAGATTTAATTATATATCGATTTAAGACTACACCAGGGAGCCCTAAATTTTAGGTAAATTTAAAATTGAAACTTAAACCTGGTGTTTTAAAAATCAACTGACAAATGTATAGGTACAAATTTAAAATATTCTTAAATTAAAGAAAATAAAATAGGTATTAACATTAATTATTTAAAAAAACGATCCATTTTTATCGTATTCGAGAGAGAAAGAGAGATGTTTTAGTATCTATTTATTAAGTTTTAACATCAAATATTATAAGAAACTATTACCTTAAGTGATATCTATTATATATATAAAAGTTTTTTCCGTCACTACTACTATTAATGCTGAAAATTAATATACAATAAAATATATCTTGGTCAATACAATATTGTACGAGCAAACATTCACTTATAAGGATCCCTCAAATGTCAGATCATTCTTATAGTTATGGATAGTTTGTAGCTTCAAGTTGGTGGTCCAATTGGATAGTATCTTTCTATCACCGCTCTCCCAACAACTTTAATATGTGGCATCGTACAGTATTCGTTATACGTATGGCTCTTCTTTTCTCTCCGATCCCTAATCGACCTTCCAGCAGCAACATGGTATTGCCTCTTCTGGTATTTCGTTTACTACTGGCTGCTCTACTCATCCACCTCGCTAGCATCAGCTTCCTGCTCTCATTCTATTGTATGTCTATTCTAGTGAAGTAGCGAAGGCTGCAAGTTCCATCTTGAGGTGGGCAATGCCAAATCGACCTGTAGGAAAGAACTCTGGCGGTCCATCGTTGGCGGATTTTTCCAGAGGTGGAAGACACAAATGAAGACATTGTATATTTATTTTATGCCAATATTATTTATTTTCTTATTTAACATCATTACATAATATTATAGGAACGATTTAATGAGAGTGCACTTTTCAATCTCAATCTATCCTACTAACATTTTTCTTCTTTATATCTTCTATTCTTTCTTCTTTTCTTTATTACTTTAGCTTCTTCTTGTGCATAGCTTCTTTTTTTATCCTTATCTCCTATATACTAGCTTATTTTTATTATCTTTTTTCTATCGTTTTTCTTTTTTCCATTGTCTTCTTCTACTCTTTTACTAGCTCATTTTCTTCTTTTTAAAACCATCCTTTAAAAACACAAGTTATCTTTAAACATAAGGCAAAAGCGAGCCTTCTATGTTCAAGAAATGAAATAATTAAAAGCACGAATTTTTCTTGTAAAGTCGAACATACCTCCTGCTGTTCTTAAAGCGGTGTTCTTGTAGAGTTGACTTTACCGCGGCACATGTTCTTGCGAAGTCTAGCCGGCAAAATTACCATGTTATGGGATTCGAAACTGGAATCTTCTGCCTGTAGTCAGACACGCAGCAACACGCCGATTGGGCTTTGAGAGAATTGTTTATAATAAACAATGAAATTAGAATATACTCTCGTAGGTGTCAGATGTAAATGTACGCGCTGAGTAGACAAGAAACCTACAAGTATATATAAAGGCAGTATGCAAGAATTATAGTATGCCAATTATTTGTCAAAAGTATGCCAATTATTTGACGAACATAAGCAGTTTTAGGAGAGAATAATGTTGTTTATTTGTTAAGTGAACTGATCTTCCAAACCTCATTGGACGAATGTGGCCATGTTTGTACATAAAAAAGGTTCAAAGGGAATGCGAGGACTCTTCCAGTAGGGATTGAGTGGAGACGTCGTTCTCTGTGTCAGGTGATCTCACATACCTGTGTAACCCCGGTCCGTTCATTATCAACGCTGCAATAAAAGATAAGTACAGGTTTTGTTATAACTTATCGTGTTTTTTATTTACGTCCTTCCTTTTTATTTGCTGTACTTTTGAATGTACGCGTTTCTGTGTAAAGTTACTTTTAGTTTAGACCCTATTACATTTTTGTTTGCGTGTAACCCGTTTAAAAAAATTCTGTCAATATGTTCTCAGGTTAAACTGGTTCTCATAATTCCTCGGTAGTATAGTGGTTAGTATTCCCGCCTGTCACGCGGGCGACCGGGGAGCTTTTTTTTTTTCTTTCTTCTATTGGTCGTGTAAAATGGTACACTCGGAATAAACAAATTATTACAATAAACTATACATCAATAACCTATCGCTCTCTATCACTGAAAATCAGAAACATTTTTAACAATATATTTTTAAATATGTATTTAAAATGTATTTCTCTACAACCTTTTATTCATTGCTGTAAATTTATAGTTACTAGTGAACGTTTAGGGATTTAAATAGAGCAAATAAGTTTTTCTTCTCGCGTGGGGAGAGAAGTTTTCCACCTTTGTACCTAGTTGTGTGGCAAGCGTTACCTACCTATACGCGTTAAATGTCTAGAAATGGCCATGGCGCGTGCTCTGTTTTAATTCTATAGTTTTGTTAATATAAGACTTTGATTTTGAGAAAAGAGATTGGTTTTGGTTGTTTTATAGTTTCTCTTGAATGATGTCTGAATACCAGGTTATAACCATAAATCCACACACACACACGTTCCATTCCCCATTTAGACTTCCTCATAAATTATTCGTTTTTATCTGCGTCTATTTCAAGCATACTTTCACATGTTTCTCGGAATCTCTGTTCAAGTGTGTAAGGTATCTAGAAACAAACTTGATCAACTTTTTATCCAATTTCAGATTTTCATAAATTATGGAATGAATTAATCCCCTTTTAAAGAGCCAACTCACTATATCTGAAAATTCCTATAGGTGTATTTATTTAAATGTTCGGCAATATTTCCTTCAAATTAACTTATATTTGTTTCTATTATTTTTACCTATAAGCCTCCGACTCTTGTATCATCTTAGTCTGAGATTCATCCATCTTTGAAAAAGACATGCCATTCATCGGCTGCCACTTTTAGGAATTCATTTGGAAGCGTTGACAACGTTTCTATTGCTGGAATTCCATTGTGTCCATTTCGTTGCTTGGAATTATTTAGTATCACAGAATACCGACAGTAACGCGTTGTTAGTAATTAAAAATTAACTTGTTGGGATGATGTTTAATAAATATTTATAGAGAAAATAATGCACGCGTTTTTAAAGGCTTACGCAACTGGTAAATACGGGGCATTCATGTTGTCTGCGCGCACAGTTAGATTTTAAAGAACAAATAATCACATCCATTTCGGCGATTTAAGGGCAGTACCTGGTACACTCTCTAAACTCACTCACTAAACCTTTCAACTTAATTCTTGACGTTTTGGCGAACCATTTGTAGGAATCCAAATTTCAATAATGGGATTTTGTTGCCATTGTTCACCCAAGTTACCTAAGATATGAGATGAGAGAGAGAGAGAATATATCAATAATTACTTATATTTATGTTATTTGGTAAAAGATACCTTCACACACTGGTTTAGTAAGCAGCTTCTTGAGCATCTTGATATAAAGGTGAGCCATGCCGATGTATGAAAACAGCCTGAAAACTCCTCCCAAATCTGTATGGAAATCTACTGTCCTCAAAGCTTATGTCCATAGTTCATCTAAAATACCCATTCCAAGAGTCTAGCAACAGTCTCACTATAAAAGATAGATCGAAAAAATGCAATATACGAGCAGCGGTATGGTAGATTAAACTGGTGGTGGTGTCTTGTCCAAGGAGCAGATCAGATTGCTCCGTGCACCCTGATCACCGGCCAACAAAGGTTGCTCCATGGAATGTGGGGTGACATTGCCCCGTTAATCAGCCACATTTCAGAGTTCCCTGTTCACGGTTACCGTAGCAGCTCGGGACTCACGACACCGTACTACAGGGCAGTCCCTTACTTACTTGTGCTGCTTCTCCCGCCAACCACGTACAGTATTTACGTTATAAGTGAGGCAATTGAAAAACGAGTAAGTCCGAGTCCAACTTTGCAACGTTATGTTTTGTTCTTTCAGAGGAATTATGCTCTTGTGATAATAAACAGAAAAAACTCTATATCATTATGATACGAAAATATATAACAATAATAAAACTAACGGAGAATATAACTCTATGACTATTGTTTTTAAAGTTTCTTTCCTAATTCGAACTTGGTAACTTAGATCTATAGTCAAACATGATATCCATTGTTGCGCCACACCCCTACTACATTCTGTCTCTCTTTTCTGTAAAATACAAGTGTATATCAAACGTCTATATCAAAAGAGAATCATACGCGTCTATAATAGTTTCGAATTTTCATAACAGATGGCGCTCTAATGCATCATAATATCAAAAGAGTAAGTATATAGTAAAAGGTAGACGAGGAGTAGATAGAAAGTATTCAGGAAGTAGACAATAAATCCAGTCAGAACACGGACATTTATCATGTTGTAGAGTTTCTAACGTTATATATAAATAGGAGGAATCGCGGTATAATCCATGGAAGCATCCATAGTCCCCTGTGTTATAGGACAGAATACCTTGTAAGGTGTACAGTACTATTTTTTAAAGAGAAGTATAAAAGGAACGTAAAACACTACAATCTTACATATACCATCATAGATATGGAGATGTGCATCAATACATGTCAGTGAAACACAGAGAAGAGCGGCGTATTACGTTGTAAACACTTATAGAACAGAATAAGAACCATAGCAATACGTTTCTTTATTTGTGTAAAGGGCAAGCTTTCGGATCTTTATAATCCTTCCATAGGTATAGCTATAAGTTGAGAGAATGAGGATATATTAAAATATACAATATTATTTACATATATATTCAATACTATATATAGAATACTATGTATTTGATCTTCGCAACAATACCTTTTTTTTTTTTAAATGCGAACTTTTAATTTTTCAAGCTGAATTTTCGCATTAAACATGCATTTACCTTTAAAAATTAACTACTTTAAATAAATATGTAAGTTAACTCATTTAAAATTTGAATTGTATAAACGAGTTAAATAATATATTATTATTTATTTTTCTCAAATAAAACGAATGTGTTAACGACTTCAAAAAACACCACGGTGTTGAAAGTAAAATAGTTCTGAAATCTTCCGATAGGTGGCAGGAGATGTCCATGATTGTTTGTAGTAATATTGATGGTCCCTTTCGATTGAAAACTGAATTAGTGAGGTGAATCAATGTATACATACTTATTGTTTTATAATTTTCGAATAAATCCTGTGAGGAGAATAAAAACATAATATTTTCAAATATTACTCATATATACCCACTCATGGACAAAACTTAAGTTTCATAGTTTGAGGCGCTGGTCGTCTGATTTTTTTTTTTTTTTTTTTTTTTAAAGGAGACAGAGGCAATTTTGTTCATATTTGGTGTTATCTCGTGTGTCTTCAATAAAGGTCACTGTGTACCAAATATATTTCAGATTTATTGTCTGAATCGCGATATACATTCTAAAAGGTACAACTTATTTAGGTCTTGTTCCCACATTAATGCATATATATTTCGTTTATTTTTGCTCCACTAGATGGCGCTCTGCCATCTAAAAAGCACATGTGCTCGTGGTCAGGAGATGCCTTTTTATTTTTAATATCAACACCTGCCCCACTTATCTTTTATTTTTTTCTATTGTTTTTTCATATATATATGTGCGAACCTTTTTCTCGAAAAAAAAAATTCTAAATATCCATCCATAAAGTCAAACAATTATCAATTCTTGTTAATCTTGCTGGTATCAATGCTTGGTGTGCGATGAAAAGGCACTTTTAAATGTGATTTTAAAACTGAAGTATTTCTTTTACCCACAAACTCCAATAAGATATTATACAATGCAAAATATCTAAATAAACTTCCCATACATCATCCTACAATAGTGTGTCTATATATCATGTGAATAGTTATTTGTTCCAAATATATCTGGATTTCTCTTATATGTGACATTTTAAGACCAAGAAAAAGATAGACATATTTCTCTACCGTCAAAATAGACATACAAACTTTGTGCCATTTATTGACAGTCTACGTAAACTAGCAGACTTGGATCAGTTAGGAAAATCTACAATTCCTCCCTGGCAACTTCTGAACGCTTACCTAAAGACCAAGGGTTCTGGCTAAATGGCTCTCGTCAGTTCAAAACCGTTTTGTGTGATTCAGGAGAACTACCATCTACTTTGTTTTTATGTATAAAGAGGAAATAATTCCTTATGATGAAATCTCAATCTATGTTCTTAATATAGAATTGGCCCTACACTTTGCCAGCTGAACACTCATTTCAAAATATTTCGTGATTCACTAGATGAAATCAAAACAGCCTTAGTCGGTCAAAAACCATAGTCCGAGATCATAGTCACCAACCAGATAGGCGTTCACATATTGTTAAATCTGGTGTTGTGACTGTGTGTCACTGAACCGAATCCAGGGGTTGTAGAGACGGTCCTCTGATATAGCGCTGAGTTTTACTGCTTTTTTTTTTTTATGTGAAATGGGTGTCTTTTGTTTTGTAAACTAATGAGTGGTACTTACTAAAGACAAACATTTCAAATAGAACGCTTTTTCCCCATTTCTAAAAAAAAAAAAAAGAATATCATATGTCTTTAATGTTGAGGTATTTAACAAACATATTAATTAGTTTTACCTAATCATTTATGTATCATATAATGTCTTGTAATATTTAAGGGATAGAAATTGTAAAAGTTGGAATATATCCAAAACGATGTTGATTTTTCGAATATCAATATATGTAAATGGTAGAAGAGATGTCAAATAAAGAGAAGTATTACCACATCAAATATACTTAACACTATTTAAAAAAAAAAAAAAACACTAATTAACACTTAATTAACACTATTTAGTTTGAGATCGTTGGTAAAAATATATATATTCTTTACTAATATAGGCATGGTTAACATTCTAAAAATTTCCGTTTATATCTAATAATTCTAAATTGAGTTGCGAACCATTTCTACTTATTGTCTATAGAATGTACATGGCTAAATTAGAATAATATCTTTATAGTGAACATTCAGGGAAACCCTAGCTCAATTTGGACATAAAAGATAAGCCAAGCTCTAGAGGTTAGAGCACTAGAAAAGCGGCGGTGTATCTTATACCAAGTAATTCAAGCCATGATAATCATGTTAGATGGAAGGTTGTCACTGCTTCAATTCTAAGTAGACCATATATCTACACCAGTAGTTGTAGTTAGACTTTTGCATTTGCAAGGTGACATTTCTCTTTTTGACAACATGATCTCATTGAAAGGGGTGGACTTTTAACAGTGTTGGGTCTATTGAAGCAGGTTTTATTATTTTTCGACTGCTCGGGGTTTGACTCCTAGCTGTCCGCAACGACAGTTTCAGACCACTCATGTTATGGAGAAGGAAATCTTAATTAACTCAAAATAGCATCAAGGCGAGCAACCACATCATTTGTCGAAATTGTGTTCCGATATATCCATATGGCAGACTTCAGCAGGGAGATAAAAGATTCGGACAATTGTACAGATATATTGTATGTTGGAACATTAGCCCGGGTCGCAGAGAAATTCGAAAATATTCTAAAACGGAATGTTAACTTTTTCTGAAATCGCCGACAAACACTTAATAGCAAAATATTCTGCTTCCTTGAGCAGGTGCTGGTTCCGTAGAACCATTTTTCTCTTTATCATGAACTCTTCCCTTTATTCGATTCTTCCTACTGTGTTTTTTTCATTCATTTTACCGCCCAGAAAATTTTCACCAATCCATTTAGGCTTAATACATCTCCCTTCCAATTCTTATGGGTTTTTTTTTTATGATGACCTTCAAAAGGCCACGTTCTTCTCCCGATAATTTCAAGACTTCATCATTCCTTATCCTATTAAATCATCTTATTCTTTTCAGTCATCTCTATATATCCACACATTCAATGTGCTTCCAATTTTATTTCTTCTGTCTTTCCCTTTGGCCTGGTCTCCTACCCAAACGACACTACACTCCAAATCAAAGTTATCAGAAGCCACCTCTTTAACTCTTAACTAAACCCTCTTTTAGCAGCTCCTTTTATCATTAAAAAATCCTCTCCTTTTCAATTATAATCTTAGCCATCCAAAAATATGATCGCTGAATATGTGGGACAACTGCCTGTTCGCACGAAACGACTATAAAAATGAAATAAACTACGCATGCGTGACTAGATAGAGCTAAGAAACAGGAGGCCAATGAGTGGACAGGGACGCCACATATTTAGACCTTATTTATTGTTTTAAATTTGTTACATCTATCTTTTAATTACCATGTCGTTCGATATAAATTCACCCTATTAAGCTTCAAATTCACGGAGAATTTGGAGGTAACTTATCCCATAAGATTTTATGAAATCATAGTCACCTCGGAATTGTTGGGATTCGTAGGTTGAACAAAGGAATTAGATTTTAGTATATTTGCAAATTTATCATTTTAATGTATTCGAATATCAGAATCTGGGCATTCTACATAGAGAGGATGGGGAAACTTTCCATTAAAAAAGTTTTCTAAGAAGATATGTGTGTTTGTAGGCGCTCTAGTTTCTTTTGTATATCTTTTCTCTGTTGAAAACACGCAGAATCAAATTGAAAATTTACCACGGCAACTTTAGTAGAATCCAGTCATCTTGGTGACATGGAATTTAGGGCTGTGATCATCATCAATAAAGGGTAGATCGATATCATAATATCCTGTGGTAAGATAAAATAAAGCTGGAGTCTGTCCAAAAGTAGCTTTCGACAAAAGTAAGACTCATCAGTGAAAAGGATATTCATACATTCCATTCTCTATGATAAAAATTCATCTCTCCCTTCTAAAATTTCACCAAAACAAATCTCTGCGAAGATACAGATTCGTATAATTTACTTATTTTAAAGGAATTGTTAAAGCGAGAGGCATCTTCTTAGCACATGAATACCAATCTGCCTCACTTTCACCATGTTTTTTATCCCAAGATCGTGATCATCAACTGAAACATCCTTTTGGATGATTCTTCCAATTTTATATTTCCGTCCTAGGATGTTGTGAAATTTTCTAAAGGAAAATCGGGACAAAGTTAGCGACTTTTATACGCTCCGGATTACGCACCGATGATAAGGTTGCGTATCTGCCCTAGTAGTGTTTAGGGCCAAAGCATAAAATTGGTGTCGAATTAAGAAGTGATCAACAAGAGAAAACAAACTATCGCCACGGCCTAGCTGCGACTGTTGTTGATGTTCTCGCTACCTGTAGGACACATTCACTCGAATGGTTCTTATATTGCAGCTTCGCGTTAGTTGTGTAAACTGTCTGAATAATAGAATACATGATATATAAATGAGCGACAACCTTCCTGAACAACAACCTCTCTGAGCAACCACCTCCCTGAGCAACCACCTCTCTGAGCAAAAACCTTTCTGAGAAAACTCCTCTCTGTGCAACCACCTTTCTGAGCAAACTCCCCTCTGAGCAAACTTCTCCCTGAAAAACTACATGTTTAAAATAAAGGAATAACGTGTGTCCTTCTAATCCGAACTCCAATCTTGGGCTATCTCCAAGAAAGGAGACCTCTAAGACCGGGGGATCCAATGTTTTAGGAGGTTCAATGGTAATAGATGGTTTCAAGATTCGAGGATTGTTTCTCTTTCTTAACTTATAAACAATATTTTAAATGAGATTCCTCAATTAACAAACAAGGCCAACAGTACTGAGAATGATATTCCCAACTCCAGGGTTTTGCACCTATCAGACGCTCGTTTAAATACACCACCATTTTATTATAATATGCGTGTTTTAGCTTCACAAGGGCAACAGCTAAAATTTACAAAGACCAAATAGATATCTCAAAGTTTCGTATTCGATAATAGGTATTTTTTCTTAATAAGTGAATTTGTGTTTCTCTTTGAAATCAAATTTGCCTTCCAATTGAGTTCAGATAGATTTACATTACAACCAATTCAGGTTTCTCGTTTTTTAGTCTTATTCGGTCTTAAATACGGTAGTTTATCACCATTGAATTATAGTTAAAGAGATATTTAAGTTTAAACTATTGTTCAATACACACAAATCAGAATTTAAAAAATAAACTTCATTTCATTTTAAGATAATACAATGAGAATTAACACATTATTTATTAACATATATAATCTTATAAAAGACCACGCAGAATACCATTTATAATATGAAATTGCATTTGGGTATAGTTAAAAGCTTGGTCTTGAATCCTATTTGGTTTTTGAATGTGATATGATTAAATACCTATTAGTGTTCATATTCGAAGTGTGTATTTGGGGGTAGAAAGTCTAAGTCTTAAATGTTGATCTTGAATCGGCAATAGAGTTGAAATGGTTAAAGAGAGGGCATGGTTGATGTTGTTGTCGTGTCCAATGAAAAGCCTCAGATGTCTCCATACATCTCTATCACAGTAGTAGCAATGTCCTCTATCTTGGGTATGTAAAGTTGCTGTTCTGGGTCTATGTCAATTTTCTGCAAGGCTGCGGCCATTGCTGGGCATGGGACTATATGTGGATGGTACGGTGTGTACTCGGTGGGAACATCTGAAAACATCGCACATCCCGGATGGTATCAAGAGCTTTTTCGAGACTATAAAAATGCGGATTCTAATCAGCAGATCTACAGAATCTAACACTGCAGCTGTTGCAAGCATAATACTTCTACAATAAACTGTTAGAGGTTCTTGAACAGTTGCTTTAGAGCCTCCTGAAAAAAAAATAAACATAAGAAGAATGTGGATAAAGCATGGAATAAGCCCAGAAACATTCAATTTCTAATTCCTGAAAACAAAATATTTGCAGACCCCTGAAGAAATCAAAGTAATCTCTCTATTAAATAGTTTAAAATATTTGTAGAAATGAGTTTCTTTTCATTTTATTCAAGTAGTCTCAAGCTTTCGGGCATCTTTGCCCTTCTACAGGAGAATATATATAACATGAATAAATCGGCATCAGGCAGCGTTTTATTCTTTTTTGCACATGTTCTCCTGTAGAAGGGCAGAGATGCCCGAAAGCTTTTTTTGAGATTACTCGAATAAAATAAAAAGAAACTCATCTCCATAAACCTTTTTAATTATTTAATTAATGTCCAGGAGATTTGAATCAATTATTACAAAGGAAACTATACAAATACCATATTATCATGCTGAGAACAGAAGAAAAAACTTCGAAGTGCTAGGAGAGCCGTTCCGAATCGAGGCTAGTAGAGGGAAAAAAAAAAGGTGATGAATGGCCGTGGTGTGGACGCCTACATGTCTTGTCCTTGGTTCCCTGCGGCACTACCGGATTAGATCAGCTGGTATTGGTGTTTATTTTGGAACACGTGGGGGTAGTTTACGTAACACTCCATGGTGACGTCACAGATACACACACCGCTCTCTTACTTATCCAAACTTTTTTTTTTTTTTGACAATTAAAAATATTTATTGACATATTGTCAATTCATGCAAAGTGCACAGTCTGCACTATTTAAAAAGATAATATGCATTATATACACTATGTACAATGAATATGGCGCCTCTGCCAGCGCTGCAGAGTTTGGTGGAGAATCACCAGTGGGTCTCCAGCGACATCACGCATTTCGCGGTTAACGAAGAATACGTAGATCGCGTACTTCGCTGCTGAGGAGATGATGATGGCGTGGTCCTCGAGACCAACTGGAAAGATCCAGGACTGCAGGTCCGGCGGCCGGCCGAACTATTTAACTTATCTAGATAGGTCTCTTGGAGGGACAACTGATGATCTTTGTGCTGGAACATGTCATTGACGTAACACTCTCCGTATGACGTCACAGAGAGAGTTACACAATAGAATGCGGAAAAGATATCTGTGCGGAAGCCAATTAATAAACCTATAATTACGTTAATTGCTTCCATTCACTTTATTAAACACAATATGTTCGGGCTCAGTGTTATTTACGTTTGTTGCATTGTTTAAATACTTGAAGCTAAAGCGCGGCATCCGATGATCTAAATGTGATCAATACAATGAGACGCCTTCTTAACGACCG